ACACTTTACCCATTTACCCTTCGTTAGATTAACCGTGTTTAACCATCCAAATAAAAACACTTTACCCATTTACCCTTCGTTAGATTAACCCACCCGTGTTTAAACATCCAGATAAAACCACTTTACCCATTTACCCTTCGTTAGATTAACCCACCCGTGTTTAACATCCAAATAAAACCACCTTATCCATTTACCCTTCGTTAGATTAACCGTGTTTAACCATCCAAGTAAAACCACCTTACCCATTTATCCTTCGTTAGATTAATCCGTGTTTAACCATCCAAGTTAAACGACTTATCACTAAAGTATCTATGCTAATTTTCTAATGTCCAGAAGTAACATATTTAACACCATACAGTAAGCTAGTACACGTTACACTAGATATTTTTCTCTTGGAATTATACTCGTAACTACTCCAAAAGCTTCTCAAAAACAAACTAATTTCAGATTAATTTCCAAATTATAAACTGCATACATAATTTCTGGATAAAGTCGTTCTTATGTTTATGTAACACCCATTCCCGCCTTACACATAAGCCCACATCAGCCTATTGTACTAAAGCTTTTCTCTTTATCCAATCAAGAAAGTTGGTCAAGAGTTACATACGTGATGGTGATAACGTATTATGCCATAACTGTAAAATCATAAGCGTATACAGAGTATAGAATGTAATTTAGCGCTATAATTCGGGGTCCAATTCCTAAGGCGAAATCAACACCAACAGCCCACTTTGCAACTTTGTGACAAATAAAATATAAGAAAAAGTATTAAAGTTTTGGATCTTAAAAGTAACCTGTTACGTTGAAGCGGATCTTAAAATATTTGCGTTGCCAGTTTTTAATTATGTTTATTTTTTTAACTACTATTTTCTCACATATTTTTTCTAAATATTTTTTATTATATAAACAATACTTACCCTACTCTGTGGTGTTCCCTCTCTGGCTGGCCTTCTCAGAATCCTGGCATGATAAAGATACAGAAACTACAGCTAAGTGTGACTCAGAGATGAATACATACAACCCACGTGGATCGATCAAATAATTCTAAAAATAATTCAACTGAAAAACAACAGCCTAAGCGTGGGCACTACAAGTAAAAAATGACGGACAAAATATTTACTTTCTGAAAGTGACATATATCTGTTTTAGTCATTTAGAGTGTTATATAGATTTAATATATAACATTAAGTTACTTAAAGAGTGATAGGCATGGTACAAGAAGCTTTACATGGGACATTTTTGCTTCAGTGCTTAGTAATTCGTTAAGCAGATCTAACCTTGTCAAGTGTTCTTGAATTAATGGCCAAAAACACCGCTAAAAGCGAGGATACCCAACTGATGACCAAAAGCACTGGTCACAGAGGCATTTTTTAGTTTACTTGTCACTCATAAGTTGGATTATTATCAACTCTAATTTTTATTGAAGATTTGAGACCTGACATAACCTAGTGGTTAGGGCACTCGTCTCGCAATCTGTGGGTCGTGGGTTCGAATTTTATCATCAAATATGCTCTCCAACTCAGGCGTGGGAGTGTTTCAATGTGACGGCCAATCCCACTATTTGTTGGTAAAGATTAGCTCAAGATTTGGCGGTGGGTGAAAGTGACTATCTGCTTTCCCTCTAATCTATCACTTCAAACAAAAAAAAGTTTAAGATTTTTGGCAACACAAGTGGTAAAAGATTATAGAAGGGCAAACAAAAACATTGAAAGAAAACTATGGTATCTAGTGTACTTCATGTGGGTGTAGTTACGTTCTTATAAAAATTAAAAGTATATTTACTATAGTGAATTATTTATATTATTGTAAAATATAATTATACTTATATAAAAAGGCCTAGAGTTATAGCGTTTTACTTTTACTGTTCGACTATCTATGCTCTGCCACCTCGGGTATCAAAACCCAATTTTTAGTGTTATAACCCACCAGGGGGGTGGACAAGAGAATGTATATTTGAGAACTTGCTTTCTTCAACTATATGTATGCTTGTCTGTCCATTTAAAAATGCAAATATATTAAAAATAAATGTAATGATAAACAAATGAAAAATGGTGGTTTGGATAATTTAAACTTAACAAGCATCGGTTTGTAAACTGGGTGTTACTAAAAACACTTATTTACTAACAACCGGAAAAATGTTTAATTCTGTATTACCACACAGAATCTAACAACTTTGAGTGAGAAAAAACTTATCTGAATAGTTAAGAACAAAAGGTCTGAACGTATGATTTAACAAATTATTCACTTTTAAAATTTAATCAAAATTTTCAAGTCACTGCTTTTAAACTGTTTGTTTTAAATGTGAGGTATTTTGTGGTTAATCTCCCCATGCTAATTTATCAAAAACAAATACAGATCGTTGTTTGTAATTAAGCACAAAGCTACACAAAGGGTATCAAAACTCGGTTTCTAGCAGTACAAGTCCGCAGACATACCGCTATTTAATCATGGAAATGCTTCTTTGGGTAAAGAGTCTTCTTATAAAACAAATGTTTATAAAGTTGACGTTATGTTAATTTCATGGTAGAACTTCATGAAAAACTTTCTTCACACACACACACACACACAAAACATAGACGTCAACGACAACTTTTCACACCCCGAGGGTTCAGGTATAGTTGCCGATCAGCGGGAGGTCTGCCATATAGCAGTAATCGACGTCACAAAGGTTTTGGAGGAGTAACGAAATTTATCATTACTTTTATGATAAGCCCACAGATGAAAGTACGAAGTGTTGAGCAACACCACGTTTCGAACCCTGGATCCTTCGATACGACATGCTAAAATATAGATCACGATGAAAGATATTTTACGGGAAAAATATTCTTTCTTACAGTATTATAAAGGTTCTGCGACTGAACGTTTTAAAATTATGGAAGAATTGAAAAACAGACTGTACGCGTAAACAGACCGTATTATTATAACAGTAGTTTTTGTTTTCTAGAACGGTACTTGTTTCCTCTTGACAAAAGATGGAAAATGCCTTGAATAGTTCACTCTCGCAAAAAAGATGTCCTGGACCGTAAAACGTCCAGCACGCCTGGTCTAGTCCATACTAATAATATGCCAAGTTATTTATGGAACATGATAATTGATATATTTTTGACTAACTCATAAAACTTTCAATTCGGCGAGACATAAAAAACAACACTGTATTCGTTGTAGCTTGACAAATTAAGACACATTTAAAATGTATTTTTGATAAACTGTAACAAGATGGTGATATTGGTAAAGTGTTGAATTAGAAATATGATATTTTAAAATGAAGTTTCTTAATGACTTTTATAAGACTTCTACATTAATGAGTTGTCATGAAAAACAATTTTCTGATGTGAATTATTTGACAAAGAAACATTTTCATGGTTAAATTATGGCTGGAATATTACCTTTTTTTTTTCTATCAAATACCATAGGAAGATTATCCAAAACTACCAGAACTTTAAAACAAACACTTTAGGGACAGTTAATTGGAATTTTTTGCTTATATTTTAAATATGATAAGTATTTTATTATTATTTTGTAAAATTAATTTCGGAATATTTTGCTTTTTCATTTAAGTTGTATCACATGTTGAGCTTGTTTATACACACGTAGCAATACTGTACAGAAGTTACTTACATTTCCTTATACACACGTAACAATACTTTATAGAAGTTACTTAAATTTCCTTATACACACGTAACAATACTTTACTGAAGTTACTTAGATTTCCTAATATATACGTAAGAATACTATACAAAAATTACTTAGATTTCCTTATACACACGCAACAATACTAGATAGAAGCTACTTAGATTTCCTTATAAACACGTAACAATACTGTAAAGAAATTACTCAGATTTCCTTATACACACACTAACAATACTATATAAAAGTTACTTAGATTTCCTTATAAACACAGTAGCAATACTGTACTGAAGATACTTAGATTTCCTTATAGACACGTAACAATACTGTACTGAAATTACTTAGATTTCTTTAGACACACGTAATAATACTATCTGAAGTTACTTAGATTTCCTTATATACACAGTAACAATACAATACAAAAATTACTTAGATTTCTTTATATACACAGTAACAATACAATACAAAAATTACTTACATTTCCTTATACACACGTAACAATACAGTAAAGAAATTACTTACATTTCCTTATACACACGTAACAATACTGTCTGAAGTTACTTAGATTTCCTTATACACACGTAACAATACTGTCTGAAGTTACTTAGATTTCCTTATAGACACGTAACAATACTGTACTGAAATTACTTAGATTTCTTTAGACACACGTAATAATACTGTCTGAAGTTACTTAGATTTCCTTATACACACAGTAACAATACTGTACTGAAGTTAATTAGATTTCTTTATACACACGTAACAATACTGTACTGAAATTACTTAGATTTCTTTATACACACGTAACAATACTGTAATGAAGTTACTTAGATTTCCTTATACACACGTAACAAAACTGTAAAGAAATTACTTAGATTTCTTATACACACGTAACAATACTGTAAAGAAATTACTTAGATTTCGTTATAAACACGTAACAATACTGTCTGAAGTTACATAGATTTACTTATACACACGTAACAATACTGTATGAAGTTACTTAGAGTTCCTTATAGACACAGTAACAATACTGTATAAAAGTTACTTAAATATCCTAAAACACACACTAACAATACTATATAAAAGTTACTTAGATTTCCTTATAAACACAGTAACAATACTGGACTGAAGATACTTAGATTTCTTTATACACACGTAACAATACTGTACTGAAGTTATTTAGATTTCTTTAGTCACACTTAATAATACTGTCTGAAGTTACTTAGATTTCCTTACATATACTGTAACAATACTTTCTAGAAGTTACTTAGATTTTCTTATACACGCAGTAACAATACTATATCATAGTTACTTAGATTTTCTTATACACGCAGTAACAATACTATATCATAGTTACTTAGATTTCATTATATACACATGTAACAATACTATATCATAGTTACTTAGATTTCATTATATACACACGTAACAATACTGTAAAGAAATTACTTAGATTTCATTATATACACACGTAACAATACTGTAAAGAAATTACTTAGATTTCTTATACACACAGTAACAATACAATACAAAATTGACTTAGATTTCCTTATACACACAGTAACAATACTATATAAAAGTTACTTAGATTTCCTTATACACACAGTAACAATACTATATAAAAGTTACTTAGATTTCCTTATAAACACGTAACAATACTGTACTGAAGATACTTAGATTTACTTATAGACACAGTAACAATACAATACAAAAGTTACTTAGATTTCCTTATAGACACAGTAACAATACAATACAAAAGTTACTTAGATTTCCTTAATAGACACAGTAACAATACAATACAAAAGTTACTTAGATTTCCTTATATATACTAAGAATACTATACAAAAATTACTTAGATTTCCTTATACACACGCAACAATACTATATAGAAGCTACTTAGATTTCCTTATAAACACGTAACAATACTGTAAAGAAGTTACTTAGATTTCCTTATACACACGTAACAATACTGTATAAAATTACTTAGATTTCCTTAAAATTTCTGAAATCTAGGTTTCATATGTAAAATATTCTGAAGACATAATTGTATTTTCGGCACATTTAATCATACGTCAGGCCTTTTGTTTATGACTATTCATATCAGATACAGAAATTTATTTATTTCTGATTATTTTTTTTTTACAAACGAGCCATTATGAGACTACACGCCTTTTTCCTTACTCAAAATTGTTAGATTACACTTGGCAAGGCTACAACCAGAAGTAGACATTAATTTCAAATCTTGTGGTGTTTCGAGTCCGTTTTACTTCCCCATATATACACCTGGAAAAAAGTTAAGCCCCCCCGTGTTTTTTTAAAGTGATTCAGATTCGACGTTCTTGTGACTGATTATAAATTACTATTCAATCTAAACGTGTTTATCA